AAAAATGTGAAATAAATAATTTATATTTATTTTCTGTGTCCTAGAGCACCAGGTTTATAAGTATGATGTAATTTATTTTGTGGTAGTCCTTGTTTAAATGTTTCTTTCCTTTTTGAGCCTGCAGGGTCTTTCCAGTCATGGTTGTGGTGTCATGTGTCTTCATGTGTCTAATGCCTTGTCTGTGACTCAGTGTATTGACATGCTTACTGAATGAATTATTTTGGACATGTCCCCAACTGTAGGATCATAGCACTGGTATTTAGTTTCTGCCTTGGAAATAGAAGTGATGGGTCAACGCAATGTTTAGTTTTTCTTTTTGAGGCACTAAAGAGTGAACCTAGTGCCTCACATGCTAGGCAAGTGCTCTATCACAGAACTACACCCCTAGTCAAGTTTTCTTTTTTCTTTCCTCATTTTCCTGTTGATATTTTGGTCAAAGCCTCCTTGAGCCACTTTGATGTGAGTGTTACTGACCTCTATGTAGACCAGGCTGGCCTCTGACTCATAGATATCTACCTGCCTCTGCCTCCCTTGAGTGTTAGGATTATAGGCGTGTGCCACACCTGGCTAATGCATGGTAATTTGAAAAAAAACAGTAATTATGTCACTGAAGTATGAATGTACCTGTGAACCTGTAACAAAAAATGATGAGAATGTTTTTATAATTTCACTTTTATTATATAATCTTCTGAACCTTGTATATTCCTGAAAATTACTGCAGAATTCCTGAAAATTACTGCAGAGCTGAAATACTCACACAGGACACTCAATATTAGTTTGTTTTTATCTTTGTGGTGTTGGAGATCGAACCCAGGACCTCACACATGCTAGGCCAGTGACCTTCCACTAACATTGACTCTCGTCCTTTACTGTTTTTAAGTTCTTAAGTGGTTTAGTTTGTCTTTTTGATAAATATTACTCTAGTGAAGTAATAGGCTTCACAATATTTTGAAAAGGGTTCATGGTACAAAACTGTTTAAAAGCCTGCTATCAAAAATATTGAAGGCTGATTGTACCAGTTTCATGAGAACACCTTGTGAAGTAGCTCTTTGGCCAATGCCTCCTCATATCCTGCTCAGACTTAGTGATTCGTTAAGGAGTCAGTTCATGTACCTACAGTCTGCAGGTGTGGTAAAGTCCACAAGTAGGCTCTTAAGGAAGGAAAACACTGCATGGAGTAAGGACAGAGTGCTAATAGATAAATAAATATTAGCTTATTTGGGGAAACTAGGAAGTTCTTCCAAAGGAAATCAGTTCTAAGCTTGGACCTAAAAGATGATTCACTAGGAAATAACTTTGTTTCTTGTACACAAACAAATGCTAGTCTAATGAGTGAGGCAAAGAAAGCGAAGCACCTCTGAAGGAGATTGTGAGACACCGTACACTGACATCATCAGCTTGTTATGCAGGAGCTTTGCGTCCCAGTGTGCATCATTTCTTCAGATTTTATAAATGCTTGCTATGTGTATTAACGCTTGATTTAAATGGAAGTTTTATAATGGAACTTCTCTGAATTATTTTGCACCGTCTTTATAGCCGTGGGTAGGTAGAGGTTTTATGCGGTTTCATATAGTTCATCTGAGATCATTACTGTTGGGCTCTGACTACTTGTTATGGCCACTTCTGTTGCTGAAGGAGGGGCAAGAGTACAAGAAAGTGCTCAGTTGCCAATGGTGTGGAAGTCTTGATTTCTTTCTTAAAAATATTTTATTATTTTTATTTTATGTTTATGAGTGTAAAGCCCACATATGTGTGTCAGAAGAGGGCATCAGATCCCCTGGAACTGGAGTTATGCTGGCAATTGAACCCAGGTCCTCTGCAAGAGCAGCTAGTGCTCTTACCCACTGAGCCATCTTCTAGCCCCTTGATTTTCTTTTAAAGTGAGTATTAATTAGTGGCTACTCAATTTCCTATAAAGAGTCACTGGGTTTAGCTATGACTTTCCTTAGCTCCCATCATCTTTCCTTCCCTCCCTCTTCCACATGATGTCTTTATGTAACCCAGGCTGGCCTCAAACTCATCATCCTCCTTCCTCAGCCTCCCAAGTAGTGGAGTGTAGGCATGTCACCCCCGCCAGCTTGCTTATTGCTTTAGTCTGTCTTCTTACTCTTCTTTACGTACCTTCTTGGATTTTGACATGTCATAGAAAGGAGGATGCACCATCAGTTGTGAGTGTACAGATGCTTCAGTGGTCTGGTCCTCCCCATTACAGTTAAAAAAATATTCAGGGGAGAAGAAGTAAAGTATTTTTTGTATGTTATGTTTACATTCTCCCTTACAAGTTGATTAAGCTGTTTAGGACATGTGATGGTATAAAATAATTTTTTTTTTTACTGATTGAATTATATTTGTTAGTCCTGAGTTTTTATTAATTGGCATTTTTTGTACAAAGATATATAATTTGAGTTAATCTTAATATAGCATTTATGTTCTTTATTTAAATTGACATACGTGGTGTATTTGTTATTTGTTTCAGTCTGAGGGTTGTTATTTAAACTGTGAGTTATAGATCCTTACTCTCATGCTTCAGTCTTTCTTTAATCAAACATGTTTATAAATTTATTTATGTCAAGAAGTTTTAACTGTAGTAACCCTGTAATAATTACCTACAACTTAAAAATGACATTTTGTGGGGTATGTGATAGACTAAAAATAACAAGTGCTTGTTGGAATACTTTTTACAAGTTTAGGGGAGTTCTTAAACAATCAAAGCACATATAAAAAAGCTGATTGCATTTTGTTGTTAAAGCTGAGCTTTCTTGTGCCAGCTTATCTGTATTATATTCAAGGTAATAACATAAATAAATTCATTTTAGTCTTTTTCTTTAAAGAAAGACATAGTCTTAGATGACAGTTATATAAAAATGCCCTGGGTGACAGAGTTCGAGAACAAGCCAGAACTGTGGCCATCTCCCGGGAAATGTTAAAAATACTGTAAAATGTATGTGATGGAATACCACCTTGGAGTGGATTAGGGAGAAAAGTAGACTGGTTGGTGGGTGGCGTGCAGCCCTGTCTTCTATGGGACCTTTCAGAAACGAAGTTACGGATGCCAGTAAACAAACTTGTGAAACTTCTTGTTGAGCAGCTGTGTTCAGTTTGTTTTCCAATTTCTCATTCCCATGCTTGTTTATTAGCTGTGACTCGGAGTCCAGAATCAAACAAATATTTTAATGGTAGTTCTTATTTATGATTTGTTTAGAAATGCCTTACTTAGACCTTTGTAGATTCAATATGGGTGGCATATGTCTGTTGCTTTCAATTACTTAGCTACAGAATAAGTAACATTTTCTAGAGAATTTGTGTTAAAATGCAGTTTTTCGGAGCAGCTT